TCATGCACTGTCTTCGCTCGCTCGGAAGCCGAGATCGTGGGTTCGAATCCCACTCAGGGCATGGATGTTTGTGTGCGTTTTACTGTGTTTGCCTTCAGGTAGAGGCCTTGCGACGAGCTGATCACCCTCCCAGGGATTCCTATCGAATGTCTACGATCTAGTAAACCGAAGTGAAACGGAAAGTTTCATGGATGTAGGCCTAGGCCCAAATGAGTGCTGTAGAGCCAAGGAAAAAAAAACCCTACTTAGTAGTTTGCATTCTAACGGCCCATCCCTGATTACAGCTACAGCTGTATCAAAAATGATATCACTCGACTAGTTGGAACATATATCCTAATAGGGTACATACATATATCTACGATAACAACATTACGCAGGTGTTCATAGGGCTAAATAGAACAATAAAAAAAACACGGACGCCACAAGAGGAATACAGACCGGGAAAGGGTACAGTTATATTCTCTAAGAAATGTATTTTAGTGTGAACGAAGAAATATGCAATAGCATTGAAATATTTTGACTTGAGAATTAGTGCAGTGTGACGGTTTAGAAAACTGAACATTTGCCTGAGGATACCCAAGTAAAACCGTAGCATGTAGCAGTTGAAGAAAGCAGTCTTCTGGGATTTGGCACCGTGTATATGTGGTGTTAACCGACGTTTCGGAGGAACGTATCGCCTCCATCTTCAGGGTAGAAGAAAAATATAAGAATTCTGCAAGCGAAGAGACCGTGAGAACCGGTAAAAGCAGACTGTGCAGATGGAGGCGATACGTTCCTCCGAAACGTCGGTTAACACCACATATGCACGGTGCCAAATCCCAGAAGACTGCTTTCTTCATAGTCACCGCCGTGAAAGCCTCAAATCTTACATGTAGCAGTTGATTGTGATTTTGATGTTATTTTAAATTAAAGAGAGATTTTGTACAGAGTTGCATTAAAGACGGAAGAGAAAGTGTAGAGAGATATATCAATGCAAGAGGATAACGAAATACGATGTTATCCATTGAAATATTTTATCCAAATATGTCAGTGGCTTGTTATCCCATAAATTATATGTGGTTACCAAACAAGAATATTTATTATTCATTTCTGATTTTATAAAACATAATCGAAGAACTAAAATTTCAACAACCCCTTTCTCAATATGAGGTGGCGCTAGCAAAGATTTTCTGCAACAGCAATCACTAGAAGCGATCAGCACAAGGGACGGCAGGTCAGAACAAGAAAGTAATAACAGGCACAGACTTTTACGGTGTTTATGTCGGTGGTACGAGCGAAGTTCAGAGACCTAAGTATAACTTCGAGCCCTATAAGGATCTGAATACACAGTGATTTCCAATATGTTCTTCCTATACTAAGGTTCCGACTGAGTTATTTCTGTTATGAATTTCATATGTGTATCACCAGGTAAATTATGGTGATGTTATTATGAGGCAGAGGATATAGTCAGAACGCGCTTCTTCACGTCCGTCTGTCACGAGTTCAAAATTGAACATCAAGGAGACTACCACTCTGTCACAGAACTGTTGCGAATATGTAGTCTCATTTTTCTATTCAATCCTTAAATTTCAGCCTGTATTAATTAAAATCTATAGTANAACAAGTATTCTGGCCAACAGCTCGAATTCATTATCCACAGGCGTGTCGTAGATCAGGCTTTTCACTGGACCCAGACGAAATAGTCCAGAGTTGTCAAGTCTGGGGATCGGGGTGGCCAAGGCACTGGGCCTCCTCTTCCTACGAGTATCACGAGACTACCATCCAGGTAGTCTCGTGATACAATGCTGAAGTGTGCCGGCGTTCCGTCATGCTTTATCCACATTTGCCTCCGCACAATCAGTGGCACGTCTTCTAGCAAAATCAGAAGGATATGTTCCAGGAACACCTTGCAAAAGGCCCATTGAGTCGCGGTGGTAGGAGGAAAGACCCAATCAAGTGATTACCAATGATACCCGCCCAGATATTGACAGAAAATTGCGCCTGGTGGTAACCAACTACAGTAACGTTGGGGTTTTCGTCAGTCCAAACGTGGTTGTTTCGACAGTTGAATTAGCCATCCCTTGTAAACTGCTCTTCGTGTGTGAATAACACGTGATTCAGGAAGTTGGGCTGATGTAAACACTAATTCAGTCACTGACAAAATTGAACTCGCGGTACGAAGTCAGCTGGACCTACGTCGTGTATTCGCGTTGGATAATATGGATAAAGTTGTTGGTCGTGCAAGATCCTCCAAACACTTGATTTTGATGTCCCCACAATCTAGGCAATGGCACGAGTGCTGGTGGATGGCTGTACCTCTATGCAATGCAGTTCGACATTGAGGCGCCAAGTTTAAATGAAATGATTTTAAATGTCGCCCTAGCGCTGCTAATTTACTTTTGCGGGCATGGGTTCCTATTTCAAAGTTGTTCTACAGGAAACCCTCAGTACGCTCCTGAAGTATGGCACCAAACTCCTAGGACATCTTGTATTTTGACATTTCAACCGAAAGCCTAAAATAGTTTGAAACCTCACATTTCTACAATAGAAAGTGACATCTGTTCTTTCAATAAAGTTATGTATTTACAATATATGAGTTACAAACGGTAAAAAAGTCTGGGATGGATGTGATAGAATTGTGAATAATAAATCAGTAATGACAGCTATGGGCAACAATAAAATGCTTTGATATACCAAGTCCTTTCGACTTCCTATGAAGACAGATCATCAGGAAACTGAGCTAATGGAACTGTTGCTGACTAAAATCAACACTGGATGGATCAGAAATATTCATATTACTGGATGGTGGACGGTATCAAATTTGACGTGTTTACGAGTAAATGCACGATTGTACATTTAATACAGTTTTCATACAGTACTATAATAATATACCTCCGTGGCTTTAGTCCGCAAGCTAACTATAACGACCGAGCGACCGCCGTTTGTCGGCAAAGTTAGTGCTAAATTTTAACGGATAGAGGATGTCACGTGGTCAGCGCAATGAATCCCCACAGCCGTTAATTTCGGGTTTCTAGACCGGAGCCGCTGCTTCCTTGAAACAGCTCCTCAATTATCCTCACGAGGCTGAGTGGACACCGTTCCAGACCCACTACTTCTCAGAAAATCTGGTAGCGACGTGAATCGAACCCGGGTCTCTGGATCTTTAGCCAGGAACTCTGACCACTAGACCACATAGGCGGTTAAAATCTCAAATTTGTGACTGTAAAAAATAGTCTCTTCTGGGATATGATGCCGGGTCGTAGAATTTGCTGATGAACATATTTCCTGTATCTTCAGAGTCGTGATGTAAGCCAAACGAATAAGTTTGCTGCTTGGTTTTTGCATCTCTCTTCTTCATTGAGCAGCTTTACTCTTCGGTCCTAAGTAATGAGGGAGTACATTCCTCCGATATACTTGTGAAATACTTCTGAACTACATGTTGTCACATCCCAGAAGACAGCACTCTTCGGTTTTCGTACAACTTTGTACTGCCATATTTTGGAAAGTAAATGATGAGTAAATAAATTTATTTCATTTCCTGCAATGTCATTGTTTATAACAGGAAGATTAAATGAAAAACTAATAATGAGCTGTAGATACTGAATGAAAGTCGACGAAAGTAGCGCTTGTGTTCTTTGGGTTCGGTAAACCTCTAGTTGAAAATTTCGGCACGGCCTCTTGACTGAGGTTTCTTTGCATTTTCCTAAATATCTTCAGGAACATGAAGTCCCAGTTTCTTATTCACAAAACATATTTTTCATAATTAAATGAAGACAACAGTTGTAGAAGTGTCGCTGAAAAAGTCCGGTAAGAAACTGAAACCCGGAGAGAACAAAATTTTAGTATTATGTTTTAATACTGGAATTAACAAGTATTCCCTTAGTATAGAGGATACAAATAATACGGTTGAGAAAACCAGCAGATTCTGTTTCATAATGAGTATGATCCCGACAAGAGAACAGCTACAAAGATATCATAATATTAATATTGGATAAACGTACGAATTTACACAGTTCATAAAATAAGATATTTATTATCGTTACCATCTTCTCGTGCTTTCGCTGCACAAAGGTGAGGCAAGAGAGAGTGGAGCTGTAAGAGGGCTGATGCTCTGCTTTTTTTCTTGACCTCTAACCTCTCCATTCAAGATAGCTTACCGCACCTTTCGCTGCATATTGTTACCCTTGCTATAGATTCCATCCCCACCACCACTCCATTTACCTTCCGAAGATAAATCCCTCCTCGAACAATATCATGCTCCCCCCACCTTCTCTTACAGAATCTATGTCCTCTTTGAAAGCATCCCCTATCTGTTTCGTTTGCTAGTTCTTTCTTTATAAGAAGGTCATTCTTAAAATAAACTTAGGAAGTCAGTAATTCCTGAGAAGTATAAAAGCTCTGACAATCCTAAGATAGCTCATCAGTAAGGCGCAAGCATTCAAAATCCTAGCAACAAGGACCTCAGAGCGAATATTACAAACAGAACAAAGAGTTTCCATCAACAGCTTGAATACCTTGATAGTGCCTCCTTTAATCATGGCTCAATTAAAGGTATGAATACATCAGAATGAATACATCAGAATATACTGTGCAGAACTGAATTTGCTTTTAAGCTGTTTACTCATACTTAGTGTTAGGAAAGTATATAGATTTTTTTGTAGGGTAACGTAAGGGGGTTGTTTCACAATTAGAACAATATTCTTTTCTCTTCCTGTTCTACTCGTAACTGATAACGTTAATTTGTCGTAGCAGAAGACAAGGCGACTGAGAAGGTGGGAAGTGCAAAGTCTGGTACGCATGCAGCAATTGTGAAGATCAAACTTTGCTTCTCAGCAGCTTTCACTGTCTGCAAGAAGAAACAATGAAGTGTTCTCAGTTCAGTAGAATAATGCAATTCCTGTCTATATATGCTATACAATTCAAATGAAGTGTTGAGACTCAGACGAAAATTCCCCGCAAGATGCATGCTATATGTACTCACGTCGGTGATTAATTTCCGTCGTGTTCTCTCTCTGATATAGATGCTACAAGCTGTTCTTACGGTAGCAGTTATTTTTACTGATATTGTCTGCGGAGGAAGGCTTGGCGGAGGAGGATTCGGAGGATTTGGGTCGTCTGGAGGTTTCGGGGGAGGATACAGTGGTGCACCATCAACCTCATATGGCTCTCCAGGTTCCAGTGGCGGTTACAGCGGCGGATACGATGGAGGACAGGTACAGTATGAAACAAAATTTCTGGAACAAATATTATGTTTTTGGACATTATCCATCTTCTTGTCTTTATCCCAAAACCGTCCTGTTTATTTTTCAAAACATAACATTTCTGAGATTTGATTCTATTTCCTTCTTCTGGTAAAACCTACTCAGTTGGGCCCAATCGACAGAGCTAGTCCATAGGAATGGTTTTTAGTTAAAGACAAAATGATGGATAATGTTCAAAAACATAATATTTGTACTAATGTACCACCGTCACAGACTTTTAATTTTAAAAATCCTGAATTTGTTCTTGTAACGGGGTCCATTTAACAATTACATAGCTCCTTGCCGGAAACGAAACTGCCGTTTCGTCATACCTGCTCGCATAAATAAAAGTTACTTTCAGAAGCTGAATGTCTTTGCCTTTTATAGAGAGGGACTATACGAATACATTACTTACAGGCATATAAATGCTGTGGTGAGGCTATTCCATTTCTACGCAAGTACAGCTCAGTGTCGCCCGCCTTCATTGCAATGTTCAGCAGCACGGTTTGCATGTCGCCGCTCAATAACATTTTAAAGCGGCGTTGGGCTTCATTTTTCTTGCCTAATTTAACGCCCTTTTGTCAAACGTGGGATTGTATGACGTCAAATGACAAATTTGTTTTCAATGGTGGAGTGGGGAAATGTAGAAAGGAAACAGCCATGACCGAATTTAACGTACTATTTCGGCTTTTTATAAGGAGAATGTCAGAAAGAACACACGAGAGCTCAGTTAGGGAAATCACTATGGTGCAGAATGCTAATCACTACACTGAGATGTCTGGATGGGTGTTATTCACTGATGAGCTTGAAGTATTTGTCACAAAATAAGGACAAAATATACTGATGTAATTACTTTGGGCCATGTGGGTCTAAGTAGCATACCATGAAGACGTGTAGAAAATTGGAGATGTGAACACCAGACATTCTCACCAGAAGAATCTGATAAGTAGTAGTAGTAGTAGTAGTAGTAGTAGTAGTAGTAGTAGTAGCAGTAGTAGCAGTAGTTGCAGTATCTAATGCTCAGGTGCTTGGGAGAATTCAATTCACCTTCTAGAACACCCACATATTTTCATAATAATATTCTCTATAATGCAAGAGTGCATTTCTAAGATGGGTGTTTATTCATTATGGAATTACCCTTACTGAATAAAACATATATTGGAGAAGGATACATATATAATCGATGTAAATGAACCACTAAACATTCATGGCTGGTTTTTACTCGAAAAGTCGCCATAGTATTTCCTCCTGAAAAATCAGGAATTAAATTTTCTTTCTTTATTGTTTTGTCCCATTATCTATGCTGGATTTAATGGTGCAATATAGGGCCGAGCCATAGCTCAAGTGGTTAGTCGCTGGCATCCCACCCCGGCGGCCCGGTTTTGATCCCGGGTCTGGTCAAATGGGATTTATGGTGGACAAAGTGGCGCTGGGGCAGGTTTTCTCCGAGTACTTCGGTTTCTCCTGCCAATCTTCATTCCGCCAATTGCTCCACAATCACCCTCACCTATCATCTGGGGCTGGTATAGTAGGCCAGAATTGGCCGCTGTACAAGGGACTTAGTCCCACACCACTAGCAATAAAAAAATGGTGCAATATTCCAATAAGTCATATAGAATTCTTCTGTTTATCTACTAAAGATGTATGAAAAATCAAGCCGCCGTTACTTCCGTCAAAACTCCGAAAGGACCAAAGTCCTTGAACAGAAGGCTCACTAAAACTTCCGCCTGGAATATAAATTCAACATCCCACTCATTAGCCACTTCATTTCCTTTGCTTACTGTTCGCTGTTACGTAAGACGGGCAAGACTACGTTAGAAATGGATATCACTCTCAAACTGCAACCAGCCATGCTTTCTTACAGTTACTTTCCGTTGATGTCGCAGTAGCAACGCACGCGGTTCCAGAGCGTAACATTTCTTCAATTTGTAGATACCTAAATATTTATATTCTCAGAAGCAAATTGAAACACAACAGAAAGTAAAATATTGGGATACATTTTACTGTTTGTTTACGCGAGCAAAAGGTCATTTTCCGAGAATATTTACCTGCATCCGAGAGAAGTCGCACATCCCGCAGCGAAACCAAATATAACAATTTCGGGTGGGTTCTTCTTCAGTTCCGGTTGGAATTCTTACGATCAAAAGTAAGACAAACAAGAAAACGTATAAAGCAATTAGCAAATAAAACTCTGAAGATGGAAGCGATATATTCCTCCGAAACGTCGGTAATTTTCAACGGACTACTAGTCGTTATATTTCAGTAGATAAGACTCATCGTAACCACTTCTGTGATAATTTATTCCTATACTTAAATAATATTTTTACAAAACGGAAGTCAAATTAATCTTAGATATTCTGTTTAATTACTCTGGATCCATTTAGAGTTGGTTTCTAGTTTAGCGTCAGTAACGAGATACGGGATACGAACAAAGAAGTGTGAATAATGAAGAAAACGATCGCGGCTTAACTGACGTCATCACACAGCATCCACGTGGAAGTGCTGACGAAAACCACAAAAAATCTCAGTCAGACTAGCGGATGCCCGGATTGAAATATGAAGCCGATACCTCTCAGATTATAAGCTCGAGTACCCCCCATTCGACGACAATCGATAAATTCAGATATTATATATCAATAAATTATTTTATGAAATTGGTTTGTTTACGAATGTCTACAGTTGCTCATTGGCTGCAACAAAACACTGTATAATTTGGTAAGACAAGTTTTGGAAACGAGAGGGAATGTGGCAGAAAGTGAAGAGGTCAAGACTGGGACTGCTGTAAACTGTAGAGAATCATTTGCCAGAGCTGAATGGGGGAAGAAAAGCAAATATTAAAAAAAGTATTTTACTTGTCTTAAATGAGGTCGAAGTTCTCACAGGACTGTAAAGCCAAGGAGTGGAGAAAAAGACTCTTGTCCTTTCGTATCATATTAATTAGTCCTGATATATAATTTCGTTGTTTTGTTCAGAGAACTTAATACTGAGTTATAATGTGAATGGAAGCGGCTTCTTTGGAAACTTAAGTTTTGGTGACAGAATAATATTAAAACACGTATTAATGATTAACGGCGTGAAAATGTATAAATGAATTAATCTAACTCGGATGATACCAGTGCACGGTAATGAACTTCTATTTTTTTATAAAACGCAGGAAATATATTGAGTAGCTCGGCGTTTTTAGCATCTCAAAAGGAACTCTCCTCCTAGCAGTTAGTTTTATAAAGTATATTAGAATGGGTCTGCCGCTCCGAGGAGGAATGCACGGATCAAGAATATTGCAGAAAAGGGCCTGATAAAGATAGATACACACACAATTTGTAGGGAATTGGGAAAAGAAGATTATGTACGAGTTAAATTGTACACCATTACCGATTTTACGCTTCACGGTGGTAAATTTTTCGTAATTCAGTTGCTACACCGTGCGGACAGTTTTACCATTTCACTGTTCCTATTGGCCCAGATGAGACACGAACCCTAACTGCCCATCCCCGTTATTTCATGAACAGGATCCCATACACGCAGAAAAATTCACCCGCCCTACACGCACAGAACCTGAAAATGGAGGGAGCATGTACCTGCTTAACACTGACACTATCGCCCATCGTCACATGGTGCAACAGACTAAGGGTGGACTTGATGCCAGTATAAATTGCAAAAGACAATCTTTGAATTTTTATTTATAATAAAGTTTATGTTGTTATATATATTAGTCTTTGAGAAAATTTCATAATGAAAAGAGTTCCACGTGGGAGGTGGAGTCCAGGTGGGTCCACTTGGCACGGCGGCCACTGATTGGCCTATTGTACCCGCCCCGGGTGATTATGATGATGATGAATTTGATGGAATGAAGATTGGTAGGGGAAGCCGAAGTACTCGGAGAAAACCCACCCAAGGGCCACTTTGTCCACCATAAATCCCACTTGACCAGACCCGGAATCGAACCCGGGCTGCCGCTGTGAGAATCCAGCGACTAACCGCTTGAGCAATGGCGCGGCCTCCTTCTCCAAGTATAATTAGAATGATGAAGTCAAAGAAGATGAGATGGGCGGGGCATGTAGCTCGAATTGGAGAGAGGAGAAATGCATGTATGATATTGCTGGGAAAGCCGGAAGGAAGGAGACCACTGGGAAGACCAAGACGTAGGTGGGTGAACAATATTAGAATGAATCTTAGAGAGATAAGATTGGATTGATCTGGCTTAGAATAGGGACCAGTGGAGGGCTCTTGTGAACACAGTAATGACCCTTGGGGTTCCGTAAAACGCTGGGATGTTCTTGAGTAGCTGCAAAATTTGGGTGCTTCTGAAGAAGGGCTCAGTCCCGTGAGGAAGTGAGTGATTTATAGTAGCCAGGATAAAAAAATGAATGTTTGGTTTACAGTCGATTATGCTTCGTGTAATATAGCAACTCCCTAACATCACAATTAAGAAATCTATGAAGCTCGAAGGCATTCTGGACGCCTAAAACACTTACTTTCTTTGCTTGGAAAATATTCTTTGTCTTCGTGAGAATCCATGGTGCCGCAACATCCATTTGGGGCACAGAACTAATGTCGTGTATTCTGTTACATTCACCTCTCGTTAAATTACATAGTTCCTTTAGTCTAACCCTGCTATTCATTTGTTGTTTCGTACGTTTGCTGAAAGTTGCAACGGAGGAGAGAAATCGAGCGTTTGTACTGAAGTTCCACCATTTCTCACGCAACTCTTCCTGCACCTGAATAAAACTTGGACCATGTTTCCAAATCTTCCATCCCGTATCACTTAATTGTCACAAATATTTGTACCAACCAGCGCGACTGGAGCGGAAAATCTCTAGATACGTTAAGAAAGGCGGCCGATTTCAATCTCGAACCAGTCATCGTTCATTCTGAAGTTTCCGTGGTTTCCGACAGTTTCTTCTAAAATATCTCGGATATTAATATAAAAGGTAATACGAGATCATTTCTTCTAAAACATTTTAGTTCACCATTAACAATCGTATTCCCGTCTCATCTTTGGACCGAAGAGAGATTAAGTGACGGTAGGTTGGAGAAAACTGCATAATGAGGAGCTTCATAACTTGTACTCTTCTCCAAGTATAATTAGAATGATCAAGTCAAGGAGGATGAGGTGGGCAGGACATATAGCACGAATGGGAAGAAAAGAGGAATGCATATAGGATATTGGTGGGAAAGCCAGAAGGAAAGAGACCACTCAGAAGACCAAGGCGTAGGTGGCTGAACAATATTAAAATAGATCTTAGATGTAATTGTATGGATTGGATTGGTCTGGCTCAGGATAAGGACCAGTGGAGGGCTCTTGTGAAAACAGTAATGAACCTCCGGGTTCCATAAAATGCTGGGAAATCCTTGAGTAGCTGCAGAATTGGCGGCTCCTCAAGAAGGGCTCAGCTCCATGAGTGAGTAAGTAAGTAAGTAAGTAAGTAAGTAAGTAAGTAAGTAAGTATTCCCGTCTCGTATGCCATTTTGGTATATCTGCACTTCAAAAGTATTTGATAAATGACCGAAATAAAAAAAAATAAGTAAAATAAAACTGTCCCTGTACCAGGCTGTGAAGGTCCATAAGGTTGTGAGACGTTGAGGGTCCCACACTATCTAGACAATCGGCTCAGAGATGGCGGTAAGGTTGTCAGCCTTACGCGTCGGCCGCGCTTTTCTCCCCAGGAAAATGATTTAACTCATTCCTGGTACTCATTTCTGTTAGAGGCTGAGTAAACCCCAGATAGGGAAAAATTTAATTCTGCTCCCCATCAAATGTTATTTCTAATATTCTGCTCCGAAATTATCTACCAAATTACAGCGACAAGTAATTTTCTATTCTTACTAATTGAATTTGTAATTACCATAAAGTCCGCACATCCTATTATAGCAACTGTGCGTCTTTTGAGGAGAGACTCTTACGAATTTTTTAACTCCTGGAATGAGTGAAGGATGTATATGTTATTAACAAGCGATTAAGACAAAATTGCATTATACTCACGAAGACAAATGTAATTGTATTTTTAAATTCACAGTTAAAAAAATATATAACATCCTCTGTTAAATTTGCCGGAATAAATCATTTCTGCTAAAATTTTAAGACACTATAATTTTGTTTCATTCAAGTGTATATCGTGTCAGGATTCCATCGTGCTCTACTAGTTGTAACTTAAGAAAGCATATTTTCGGAGTTCTTTTTGCCCAGATGACAGGGAAAACATATAAACCAATAAGTATAATTATTCATTCACTCTCTGAAAACACATATAGCTTCGTGCATTAAAGAGAAATATCGTTTACTGTTGCATCTCTATTTGTTCAAACATATTCAACCTCATGCATTCCTAAATGTATTATCTGAGAGTCCTGCTGAAGTAGTGTGCCAGTCGAAACGTCGCACCCGTGGGTCTGTCAACGGAGTACTTGATAAGGAGGTTGTCCCGACAGCGATTTTCAACACGACATCAATTTCCCCCCCCCCAAACCGTGTTTTCAATTGTTCGCTAGTTGGACATTACGATGTTTTCTCGATAATTTACAGTCTACATGGAAATAACACTGCTGACCATAAATACAATACGTTTTTCTAAACACCTCAGAAGGTTTATACAAGGCAATTAAGAGAAACCTCTGTCATTCACAAGAATATCCACTGCAGCTGGTACTTAGACAAAGTCTCGTTATGGTCACTGACAGCGGAATGCAGTGGCCGTTATCACCCTGCGTCCTGCTACTGACAGGTCTGAGCTAGGTAACATCTCGTAGTTAGAAACAGCTGCCAAAGATCGGACAGCTTAGGGAGCGAAATATGAGTTTCGTAGAGATAGGTTGAAAGAATTTTACAAGTACAGTGTTCTGCAACCTCGAGACTTGATAGTTTAAATAATCTTATGTAAGTGTTCCTTCAAAATTAAATACTGGGCTAAACAATTTTCTAATTAGAAAGGAATATATGGAAACTGCATCCTATGGAAAAAAAACAAAAACAAAAACAAAAATAAGCATTCAAAATAGATTTTGTTAAAATTTCACAGTAGTGACCCAAAAGAAGTCAGTTGTCTTGAAAACACAGCTAAAAAGTGCATTTTCTGAACAAATTAATTAAAGAGAGACAGCCATAATATCTGAAAATATATTAGTTAATTTGGCGGCATACAACAAAATGTACCGGGATAACTTCAGTGAAAGAACGCAGAAATGTGCTGTCAAGTAAATGGAACATCTAATCTTAATAATCTAGAAGAATAGCCGAGAACATATGATTGTACTTCCATTCGGAAACCTCCACAAAATATTCAGCTATATCTAGCATTAAGAGCGTCAAGAATATTCGACTGAAATTCCTAATAAATATTCGGGAAATTCCGGGATAGTTCCTGAGCCCGAGAGTCAGCCATCCCGAAGGAGTTTTTTTCGTGGTTTTTGGTAATCCCTCCAGGAAAAATTCTGTGATAGGAGCGCATCATTCTGCCCCTACCACACTCATCATTCATAATCATAATCATAATTCATCATCACACACGATTCTCAAGAAACGCCATTACATAGACCAAGACACAAGCAAACTGCACGGGGCCAAGTTCTCCAGGGGAAGCTAATACCAACTCATCCACTCGCCTTTCACTGAAAACAGATATTATTACAGCATCAGAACAATCCGCCAATGGTAAAAGTAAAGCTATCCCTGTAACAGCTAGTGGAGACCAATAGGGTTATGAGGTATCAAGGCTCCCACATTTCCCAGAAAAGCAGCTCACATATGAGGTTCAGGGTTTCAGCTTTACGCGGTAGCAGGCCTTAACTTGCAGGAAGATTCTTGGTACTCATTTCTGTTAGAGGCTGATTCGATCACAAGGCCATAGTGCTGCTGGAAGTATAGAACAATTGAAAACTCCAATAACCTCATCAGGAATTAAATCCGAGACCTTCAGTCTTATAGCGTAGTGTCTCAATCAACTACGCTACCGCGTGCCCCGCCCGTAAATGGGCCCTATTCCTATAATATCCGAATCTGTTCCACGTTTTCACACTCTAATTCTCAGAGACATATTTCAATATCGTCCTTAATATTACTCAAATCTCCTAATTGTTCTCTTTCCTTCAGGTTCCTTGACTAATATCGTCTATTCATTTCTCTTCCACCTCATACCTGATACATGTTTAGCGTATTTATTCCCTTTTATGTAATTAAAATATAATAGTATTTCTTGAATAGTATAAATTATGAAGTTATTGCGTATCTATGTTGCTTTCTAGTTTACCGTCCCAAATTTCCATAACCTAACCTGAACTGACCTAACAAAACCTAAACTAACCTATCACATCTTAACCTAACCTAACCTCATCTAACTTGAACTAATGTAACAAAACCTAAACTAAACTAACCAATCACAACCTAACTTAACCTAGCCTAATCTAACCTAATATGAACTAACCTAACAAAACCTAAAATAATCTATCACAACCTAACCTTAGCTTACTTAATCCAGACTACATTAACACAACCTAACATAACCAAACAAAACCTATACTAAACCAACCTCTCAACCTAATATAACCCAATCTTACGTAACCTAACCTTACCTAACCCAAACTAAATTAACACAACCTAACCTAATAAAACCTAACCTGAACTAACCTATCAACAACCTAACTTAACCTAACCAAACCTAACCTAAAACTACTTAACCTTACCTAACCTAACAAAACCTAAACCCAATCTAAATCAACACAGCCTAAACTAATCTATCACAACATAACACAAATAACTTATTATTATCTGACCAACACAAACTAACCTAACCTAACCTCAACTAACAGCCTGACCTATCATAACCTAACCTAACTAAACCGAACCTAACCCAACACCATCATTTTACTTCGTCCAAATATTAAGTGTTGCGCCTGTTTTTGCTCAGCCCACACCGTACAACTTTCAATATGCGGTGAGAGATGCTGCCAGCGGTAACGACTACAAGCAACAGGAGAGCAGTGACGGACGCTCTGTGCAGGGTGAATATCGCGTACTGCTACCCGACGGCCGCAACCAGATCGTCAGATACAGAGCTGATGATGCTACCGGCTTCAATGCAGATGTTCAGTATGAAGGAGAACCGCGTTATCCATCAGGAGGCGGCAGCGGCGGTTACGGTGGCTTTGGAGGACATGGAGGTGGCTCCAGTTCATATCTTCCACCCCGGTACAAGAAATAGAAACTCCTACGCCCTCTGTGGATAGTATTGCATTATTAGGTATGTAAGGAAGACAACAACGACAGCCGCAAACTAAAGAGATAACATTACGAAGCGATGCGTTTTACAAACGGGTACAAGGTCAGATAAGTGCGTTGTCTTATAGACAAGAAATGATGATCTCTGACTGTATTAAATACTGTACTTACCTAACACTACATTTCTGATACGGTTCCTCAGTCTTAGCTCTAATTCTACTTTTATTCCCAAAATATAAGGAAATTGTATTACTAATGTGATATTATTTAAGCTTGGATGTGTGAATAGTTGACAGAAGTGGAAGTATGCATCTAAAACTAGCCTATAAGTATACCTGTGGTTTTGTATTGCATGATATGTGAAATTGGAATAAAATAAATTTTATAAGTTGAACACGTAAAATGATCTGTTCATATGCATTATTGTACTTTGAAACCAAAGTTCATAATTGTACGTACTACAACCGCACACGGCCGTCACTTCTTACAACCGCTGTTCACCACTTCTCGTGACCGTTGCCTATCTATCTTTATGTTTATTTACTTGTTTGCCCGCTTCGGTAGAACACTTTTGACTCTTCTCAGGGTTGTGCCACGGTAATAACTGGGGCGACAAGGAGACTGCACATTTAAAACTAGTCCACTGATACAAATAAATACTCTATTTTTGCTTAATCACAAATTGTTTAATTCAGAAGCAAACACTACATCTTTATTGGCAAGTAGGGAGTAATGTGCCAAAGATTAATCGAGCCAAATAAATACTGTTAAATTAGATAAACTTGGAGAGAGTAGGTAAATGACGTCTGCCTCTGGTGAATTCTAAGTGCCAAGTCCGATACGTATATCTCTGATGAATTCTGAACGCCAAGTGCCTCTGCCCACTCTATTCTGCAGGAGCGTCACTTCATCACCGTATAGGATTTGAACCGACGGCCTTTCTCCCAGACAAGAATAGTTTCTAATGGCTGATTTTAACTGCCAATTCATCATACCATCAGTACAAGACAATCACATTACTGACTTTTAGAATGAAGAGATCCAAAGATATTGAATCCCGAACCCTACATGTGAAAGCGCTTATTTCTTAGTTTAGGGTCTAATTACACCCTTTCGAAAACACTTTAATAACAGCTACCCTTTTAGCAAAACAACATTTACATGTTCTGCAACTACAGACATGTCCTTTCTAATGGGCCTCGACCCTCTAGCGGTCACCCAAGCTCCAGGTAACAAAACAAGGCAGTTGTTCCTGTCTAAATGCGAAAATCATGTCATAACTTCTTAATGGATGGGTCTCCCTAATAAATCAGTCACTCTATTGAAATGACTAAAGTGGAACATAGTGTCCATTAAAGAGTATTAAAAGGTTTGGACGGTTACAGTACTTAAGTAATGGTAGCAAATCAACTTATTTATCTGCCCCATTAGAACACTCTGTAGCAAAGCATGGGTTTTCATATACCTTGGCTCAATCATCATATCCCAAAGGATAACCCTTTCTGTTTTCTTATTATTTCTTTATCATCGACAATGCCAACATGGATGTCGTGCGAACATTTGAGATGAAAGGGAATTTACAGCCATTTCATAAGCTACTGAGATATAATATGTTCTCATAAAGTATAAAGGCTTATTAACCGTGCTACAGAAACAACAAATTGACTAATGTATTTAATGTTCGTTTTAATGCGATTAACAGTAATCCACTTGGGAAAAAAGTATATTGTATGAAGGCAGAGCATAAGCATTCCTACAAATTTCTCGCAAAATATTCCTTTGTGTGTTAAAAATAACCAGCACAAAGAAAATATGGAACTTTGTGGAACAGGGACAGGTTTTCTCCGAGTACTTCGGTTTCCCCTGCCAATCTTTATTTCACCAATTGCTCCACAATCACCCTCGCCTGTCATCTGGGGCTGGTACAATAGGTCAGAAGTGGCCGCAGTACAAGGGACTTAGTCCCACCCCCACTAGCAATAAAAAAATTCTTCTTAAGGCCGCGCTATAGCTCAAGCAGTTAGTCGCTGATTTCCTACCGCGGCGGCTCGAATTCGAGCCCGGTCCAAGATATATGGGATTTGTGGTGGACGAAGTGGCACTGGGGCAGGCTTTCTCCGACTGCTTCGGTTTCCCTTGCCAATCTTCATTCCACCAATTACTCCATACTCATCATCATTTATCATCTGGGGCTGGTAGAATAGGCCAATAGTGGCCGCAGTACCAAGTGGACTCAGACTCAGCTCCTTAAGTTTTTTTTTTATTTACGTAAAATTAGCAATCAGAATCGCATTAAGAATAATAATAAAAAAGTCTTCTCAATCTACTTTCACTACTCTTTACCTAGCAACAGTTCTCCACAATGGCTATTCATCTGCAGTGTTATCGCTAGACGCGTCCTTGTAATGGATCTTAACAATGCAGATTCTTCTGCTTCCGTTGTCTGCTGGTTAAGACTTCGAGCTGCACCTTCAACTCACAACTGCTTGTAGCGTAGATTGTCTTCAAGATAACTCCTCAGCACGGACTCCACGGAAAACACCGTCTTCTGTTGCCAAGAATGTGTTTTGGTGTCCCATTACATAACAATGGATATTAGCGAACCTTATACGAAAAAGCTCTTGCGGCACTGGTTCTTTCGTTACGTGCGCTTATTCCGGGCGTTGCCTAGAAATAGGTCTGCATCTGTTATCCCACCAAACATCCGCAGACGGGCAGTCGGTTTTATTTCACATTATCTTCACTTTGGCGCAAAGTGGGTTGTGGCGCTTTCAGTATGAAGGACATCGCGGAAGGAATTTGGATACGCAGTCCCGACAACAGTGACTAAGAAGAGTGCCATCTTCTTGAATGTGAAGCCGTGTAATCGTGCAGGAGTTCAGTGATTTTCAGAGGAACGTTTTGCCTTCATTTTCAGGATCGAAGTGATATTAAGCAAGTATCAAGCAAGAGGCAAGCAATAATACGAAGACAGAAACAATTATTATAGTATAAAATTTGATGTTTTCACAGCGGTGAGGATGAAGAATGGCGTCTTCTGGGATGTGGGGCCGTGTTGATCTTGAGTGAACCGACGTTTCGGAGGACAGTATCGCCTCCATCTTCAGGGTAAAAAATCCCCGAACGAGGAACCAGCGTGAGTATGTGGCTGGAGACCATAGACTGCAGCCACCTGTTCACGCTGCATCCTCGCTCGCGGATTTTTCTACCCTAGAGATAGAGGCGATTCGTTCCTCCGAAACGTCTGTTCACACAAGATCTACACGGCGTCACATTACAGAAAACGAAATTCTCGAATTATTTTAGTAATACATGTAATTTTTAGCGCAAAGTGTAAATGTGGGTAGGATTTTAAAACAGATACGTTATTGGAGAAAGAGCAGGTGCATGTGGAATGCATTTAAACAGCTCAGGATACATCTCGAGAGCGAAATTTTGCAAATAAATTTACATCATCAGATTCAATGAGAGAGTGGAACCATCTTGACTAACGGAGTAAATATCAAATGCCCACTGAAAAGTCTGTACTATAAATAGTTAGTTATATATGTTCTAAAAATGGTAGAGATTTCCGCTTAGGATTCAAGCCGAAAAGACAGCATTCACAGCATATTCAAAAGCATGCCTACAATCTAAGCAATTACAGCACATGACGCGTCACAGTCAGAATAGCTGGAATTCGAAAACATTCCCTTCAAAACACAAAGAATTGTTAAATACTGCATGGAAACAATTCCTAATCCTTGTGTGTTATTTATTCTTTGCGGCCTTCCGAGTACCCCAATTAAGATTTTTATAGTCGCATCTCTTATACACATTACTCGTAGATTACGGCCATAATTTTGGGCTTCACAGCTTCTAGCTTTAAAATTACGATCAAGAGACTGGATATTTGTTACTGAAATTGAATGGCATAAGAGAACCCGCCTATGGCTGTAGCTGGACAATGGCTTATACAAGCAGAGTAATTTAAAACACTGAATGTCATATGAAGGGGCATCGTTTTATGTAGGGGGCGAGCAGAAGCATGCGTAATGGTGGTAACATTAGCCCCCACTATGCTAATATCTAGAATATTATTAACCCCGAATTCCTTTCCAAAATTAAACTTTCATTCTTGCTGTTTTTGAAAGGAGTTCTCTGTTGTTTAATTATACAGCAATTATTTACTCTGGAGGCTGAATGTGTCAAACACGAGCCGAATTCAGGTGAGAAAATTCGCATAGGCCTGTTACTAAGTGTGAGTCTGGAGATAAGTCCATACTCTATAATTCAATTTGACCTTAATTATTGACTTATAAAAGCTCTTCTTCGGCAGATGAGGCACTCTCTCTGACAAATCTAGATCCCTAGTTATTGCAATAATGAAAAACCTTGAGTATCCGGTGAAACTTCTTCGAAAGGCGAGTGAACCTTTGTAAAGTCTCTACATACAAACAGCATCACCATAAAGAAATAACGCGCAGAGACGCCAATTCCTCGAACGAGATAAGAAGCCGAGATCCAAATGTTTCTTTAATAACTGTAATAATAATAATAATAATTATTATTATTATTCATGTCAGTTATTTATTATGTGTTGACCTTAACAGACAGCGATCAATTACAGAATCAGAACCAATAAAAACA